GCCCAAGAAATGGAAATTTTGAGGAAACCAGTTGCCATAGAGACATTGCAAGACATTGCCAATAATACCAGAATGAAATAGTTTCAGAGCTTAGTTCACTCTGAACTTTAAAATACAGATATATTGATATTTTTAAACTATTCCAGACCTTAGAACAATATGGAAATCTCCCCAATTCATTTTATGAAGCTAATATAATATGAATACCTGATAAAGATTATATAGATAAGACCTATAATTTTGCTTACAACTTGATGTAAAAATTCTATGTAAACTATTAATAAGTTTTAGCAATGAATCAGAAGAATAATGCATTATCACCAAGTAGGGTTTATTGCAAGAATGGCTCAATATCCGGAATCTATAACTTTATAATCAATAGATGTAGAAAAGACGTTTACCATGAACTCAGGTGCCATTCCTAATAAGAATGCTAAAACATAGGATTAAAAGAAACTGCTTAAATATGAAAAAAACTACCAAAAACCTACAGGGAATATTATTGTAAATAACCAAACACTGAAATTGTTTCAAGTAAAACGAAGACTCAGACAGAAATGCCTGTTATCACCGTTATCATTCAACATTGCTTTACAAGTTCTAGTAAATGCAATAAGGTAAGAAAAATCACATAATTAACATTAATGTTATAAAAGAATTAAATATATATATATATATATGCTATAACTGTATCTAGAAAACCTATGATGTTAAAAAAAACTAGAAGAATCAGAGAACTTGGTAAAGTAGTTGGATAAAAACATAAATGTATAAAACACATAACTTTTCTCTAGCAGTAAACACCTAGGAATGGAAGTAGGAAAGAGTATGTTCACAATAGTGATAAATTTTTTTTAAATATGGAGGGACAAATTTAACAAGAAATGTATGTGTCCTAGATAAAGAACATTATAAATTAAGGGAAAGAATAACAGTTGTTGAGAACTTCATGTTCTGATAGCTTTATATGAATTATTTAATTCTCACAACAACCTTATGAGCTAAGTACACTAATTATCCTCACTTTATAGGTAAGGAAATAAAGGCACAGGACACTTAATAAACTTGCCCAAGTTACACAACTGATAAGTGGCAATCTGATTCCTCACCCTTTTTTTTTTTTAATCCTGCCTTCTCTAAATAAATACATTCCATGTTCTTGGATAGGAATTGATCATAAGTTATCAATCCTTCCAAAATTACTAGTCAAACTTAATGTGATTTCAGTTAGCATCCTATTAGGGAGATTTTGAAATTAATAAAATTCATGTGGAAGAAGAGATGCTGAGAATAAGCTAGAAATGTACCCAAAAATTCAAGTCCTGCAGGGGTCTTCCTTCACCTGATATCAAAACATACTGAGAAAATATATGCAGCTGTTTGAGAGTTGCTGATTTTATGTTAAAACAACAGAGTAAGCTGCAATCCCATACTGAAATAATAAAAACTGGTATATTTTCTGAAGGTGGCCATAAAGGTGTTGGAAAATGCGCTGACCGCACAGCCCGCTATCCCGTGGCAGACACTGCGCTACCTGTTTGGGGAAGTGATTTACGGTGGCCAAGTGACTGATAACTGGGACAGGCGATGTTTGAACACCCTTGTCTACAAATTCTGTAACCCCGACGTGCTGGAAGATGACTTCGGTTTCTTTAGTGATGAGGTAAGGAAGGAACACATTTTCTTACATTCCTTGACTTACCAAATGTTGCTGCATTATTTAAAATCTGCATTTAAGTACATTTTAATGTTCACTTTTAGTGGCGTTTATTAACTTTCAGTATGACAAAATTAATTACCATTACTCTGTAAATTACCGTTTCATCTATCCAGCCAACTGCCCTCCTCACAGCCTTTACCCAGTCAGGACTTAGAGCTAATGAACAGGGAGATACAGCTGCTAAACAGGAAGAAAGAGGTCCCTTTTTTCCCCATTCAATAGCTTCTCAATTTTTTTTATTAGTTCAAGTGTACAAAACAACATAATGATTAGACATTCACACTCCTCACAAAGTGATAATACGCCCAAGTCTACTACCCCCTGACATTGAACATAACTATTGCAATACCATTGACCATATTCCCTATGCTGTACTTCACATCTGTGATGATATATATGTATGCATATATGTATTTAATTATAGTTGACACATTGTTTTATATTAGTTTCAAGCATACAGCGCAGTGGTTAGGCATTTATTTAATCTATGAAGTGATCCCCCCGATGAGTCCAGTACCCATCTGACACCCTACACAGTCTTTACAACATTATTGACTATGTTCCCCATACTGTGTTTTACATCCCAGTGACTATTTTGTGACTGCCAATTTGTATTTTCTAATCCCTTCACCTCCTTACCTATCCCCCACCCCTCCTCCCTTCTAGCAACCATCAGTTTTTTCTTTGTATCTATGAGTCTTTTTCTGTTTGCTCATTTATTCTGTTCTTTGATTCCACATATGAGATCATATGGTATTTGTCTTTCTCAGTCTGACTTATTTCACTTAGCATAATACCCTCTAGGTCCATTCATGTTGTTGCAAATGGTAAGATTTCATTCTTTTTTTATGGCAGAGTTAGATTCCATTGTATAAATGTACCACAATTTCTTTACTAATCGTCTACTGATGGGCACTTTGGTTGTTTCCATGTCTTGGCTATTGTGAATAGTGTGCCACAGTAAACATAGGGGTGCATATATTGTTTTTGAATTAGTGTTTTAGATTTCTTTGGATAGATACCCAGGAGTGGAATTCCTGGGTCATAAGGTAATTCTATTTTTAACTTTTTGAGGAACCACTATTCTGTTTTCCACAGTGGCTGCACCAATTTGCAGTGCCACCAGTAGTGCATGAGGGTTCCCTTTTCTCCACATCCTGGCAAATACTTGTTTGTTGATTTATTGATGATAGCCATTCTGACAGGTGTGAGGTGGTATCTCACTGTGGTTTTTATTTGCATTTCTCTGATGATTAAGTGATATAGAGCATCTTTTCACGTGTATATTGGCCATCTGTATGTCCTCTTTGGAGAAATGTCTGTTTGTGTCCTCTGTCCAATTTTTAATTGGATTATTTGTTGTTTTGGTATTGAGTTGTATGAGTTTTTTAATAAATTTTGGATATTAACCCCTTATCAAATGTATCATTGGCAAATATCTTCTCCCATTCAGTAGGGTGTCTTTTTGTTTTGTTGATAGTTTCCTTTGCTGTGAAAAAACTTTTTAGTTTGATGTAGTCCCATTTGTTTATTTTTTCTCTTACTTACCTTGCCCGAGGAGATATATCAGTAAATATATTACTAAGGGTAATGTCTGAGAGTTTACTTCCTATGTTTTCTTCTAGGAGTTTTATGGTTTCAGGTCTTACATTTAAGTCTTTAATCCATTTTGAGTTTATTCTTATATATGACATAAGAAGGTGGTCCAGTTTCATTGTTTTGCACGTGTCAGTCCAGTTTTCCCAGTACCATTTATTAAAGAGATTGTCTTTACCCCAATGTAAATTCTTGCTTCCTTTGTCATAGATTAATTAACCATACACGCATGGATTTATTTCTGGGCTCTCTATTCTGTTCCATTGATCTATGTGTCCATTTTTATGCAACTATCATGCTGGTTTGATTATTGTTGCCTTGTAGTATAAGTTGATATCAGGTAGCATTATATCTCTAGCTTTGTTCTTCTATCTCAAGATTGCCATGGCTAATTTGGGGTCTTCTATGGTGCCTTATAAATTTTAAGGTTAATTTGTTCTACTTCCTCAATTTTTTTTAAATTTATTTTATAACTGGAAGCTTGTATCTTTGGATCACCTTCACTAATTCCTAGGTGGTGAGTTATTCTTAAGATCACTCACTTTCTTTCTGTAGGTTTTACCCAACTAAAATGATTTGTTAAAGGTTGGTTGCATCATTATCTATGCATATAGTATATTGAGGCAACGGGTAGTCAGAATTACCCTAACCTGTAAGTATTTTTCTTCCTTTTTCTTTCTCTTTTCCCAAAGAGAAAGTTATATGTGCATATCATGCAATCATACTTTATAATATTGTGGTCCCAGGTGTACCTTTTGACAGAAGTGACTACAAATAAGAGCCTTCTGAATAAAATTTCATGGGGACATATTGTCTTCACCCATTACTGAAAATAGATACCTTACTATGCAAAAAACTAACAGTTTTGAAATTTTCAGCTATGTCAGCCAGTGCCAGAATCTGCAAGCATAAAGGATTACGTACACATTATCCAGTCTTTACCTGACGATGACCCTCCTGAGCTTTTGGGGTTGCACCCTGAGGCCATGAGGGGCTGCAGGGAGATCCAGGGCCAAAATTTCATTGATAATCTCATTGCCCTACAACCAAGAACAACCCCTACCAGTGTCATGATCAGGTAAGACTCACTATTGTTAGCTAAATTAGAAAAATTATTAAAATAGTTAAAAACTATTAAATGTTTATTTGAAGACACAGTATAGGACTTATAGAAAAATGTAATCTAAAAATACAAAATCTAAATTCTCCAAATGACACAGAAGCTAGTATACATACCCATGCACGTGCACACATGCACACACACACACATGCGCACACACACACACATCACACACACACACACACACACACACAGTTACCACGCATGTAGTAGATACTCAGTAAATCTTTGTTGAGTAATTGAATTGTACCTGATGAGTGGTATTTTTAAACTGAATTTGTTTAAATGTGAAATGACTTATTTACTTCTATAGGACAGGGGAAAAGAACCATCATACTAAGTCAGAGGACAGACAGTGTGGTCAGGAGGAACAAGTCCTGCTTTGAAAGGCCCATGTTGATGATGCCTCCGATTAGCTCTGCATCCCAGGTCACACTGCCTCAACAGCCGTATCCTGTTTATCCATAAAAGGAGATAGTACCTGTCTACCCATCAAGGCTATTGTGAGGTGTAAATAGTGTAACACACAGAAGCCAAGTCCTCAGGCCTCCTCAAGCCTGTGACTGTAAAATAAGATCATGTTTGTTAATGCCGGAACTACATGGCTTAAGCCCCTGATGGCTTGATTACCAAAGAGATCATCCCACCCTTCCCTTCCCAACATTCAAGGCCACCTTAGATGAATTCCACTGAGTGACTCTACTTTTAAAGTCAAAAACAAAGTGTGACGACAAAATAAGGACACATTACTTTATGTGTTAGAAAACAGCTCAGAAGCACCACTGTTGAGCTAAACACATAGCTGTAGCTTCCGGTTATCACTTACTCTGACCTTCGTTTGGCTGTGTGAAAGCTGGGATGTTTGTTGAAAAACCAGTCGCCCCTAGAATATATCGAGTAGCAGAGGGGAACTTGGGAGAGGCGTGTCCGACTCCCTACTCATTTACTAACTGTTTAGGGAGGTCCTGTCACCTCTGAGACCTGGTTTCCTCATCTTTAAAAGGATCCCCCAGCTTTCGTATTCTGTGGCTTTGTTTAGTATCCCATCCTCACCCAGACCTGTACACACTGTCCTCCTGGCACCACCCATTGAGTGTGTGACCAGGGACCCTTTGTGGAAACACGAGGAATTTGACGTGCAGCTGAATGCCTATGTAAAGCGACCTCAGCATACTCTGTCTGGTTGCCTCCTCTTTTTCGTTTCAGTCTTGGTATTTCCTTTATGCAGATGTATTCAGATGATGAGTATTTTACAAAGAAATCTTAAGAAAACTTGAAGCATACCTATTTCCTTGCAAATGTCTAAAGTCCATTGAACAGTTTTCCCATCTGAAAACAAAACTGAAACGAACTCCATGATCTCTATTAGTCTCCATGGTCGCCATATCGTGGTTTTGTGGTTCTTTCTGTGAAGCTGTATTTACCTTCAGAAGAGACATAGAGGACGCTCCTAGAGTAGCCAGAGCTGTATCTCATTCTTCTCTTCTTTCGCAGCGGTAAGCAGAGCAATGATGACCTGGTGATGGAAGTTTTATCTGACATGCTGAAGCGGCTGCCACTGTCCGTGGAGAAAGAAGATGGTGCTCGAACTCAGAGCACACTGAAGCGCATCATGTCAAGCCCCATCTGGGAGTCTCTTTATAAAGCCCTCAAACGTAAGTACGAGCATGCGCTTCTTTCTCTCCCCTCAACCTTCTCAGTGAAGGACTCGGGCATCGGGGAAAGTAGAGTAGAGAGGCTGAGATGAGATGGAAAGCGAAACCTCTACCACCCCCTTCGCTCTTCAAAGTGGGGAATGAGGAGCCGACAATAAAATGATGCTGTGGGTTTGTTTTGGGGTCGGTCGGTCGGTCGTTTGGTTGGTTGGTTGGTTGGTTGGTTAGTTGGTTAGTTGGTTGTTTGGTTGTTTGGTTGTTGGTTGGTTGATCGATCGATGGGTCAGTTGATTTTTTGAGGTGTGAGGGGCGGCCCCAAGACTGAAAGTGAAGAAATAATCATTGTGGCAACAGAAAGGAGCGGCTCTGCTTGAGAGATGCTAAAGAGCTTCTAGGTCCCTGTTCTTTGCCTCTCTGCCTTCTGGAACAGCATTTTGGACAGTGAGGTTTAGATGGGCCCTTTGATGGGAGACTCTTGATTCTGAGGAACTAAGGGAGTGGGAAGGCAGGCCCAGAGGAGACAGAGCAAACCTGGTTGTCTAGAGTTAGTTCCAGGCCCTGCGCTGAAGGGCTAATGTGTTGGACTATGGTAATTTGCCCAGTTAAATTTTCAATACCGATATTTTAACCCTTGGAAAAAGACTCATTCTAGAGCTGAATGCTGAGCAATAGTCTATCAAACTAGTGCTATTGTTGCGTAGCGGTCAATGGTTGGCAAACTAGGGCTGGCGGGCCAAATCTAGTCCACCATTTGTTTTTGTACAGCCCACAAGCAAAATGGTTTTTACATTGTTTTTAATGGCTGGGGAAAAAAATGAAGAGTAATATTTTGTGACATATAAATATTATATGAAAATCAAATTTGAGTTTCTACAAGTAAAGCTTTGTTGAGTACAGCCATGATTGTTTGTTTTTGTCTGTGTCTGCATTCACACTACAGTGGGGGGTGGGGGGGTTGAGTAGTTGTGACAGAGACAGTATGGCCCACAGAGCCTAAAATAAACTATTTACTAACTGGTCTTTTGCAGAAAATGTTTTTCAGTCTCTGGTCTAGATAGATGAAATTCCTTTAACTTCTAAATCCTATATCTCTGTAGGTAAAGCCTCATTTTATCTGAAAGATATAATTTTACTGCTTTTTTAAACCCAGGCTATGATCCCCTTATCCATTGTGTCTTGCTAACCTTTTTGAAACAAGAAATGGAACGATTTGATAAGTTACTGTTTGTTATACATGAGTCTTTGAAAGATCTTCAACTTGCTATGAAAGGACAGATCATCCTCACCCAAGAGTTGGAGGAGATATATGACTCTTTTCTCCAAACCAGAGTGCCAGCATTTTGGCAGGTAAGTAATTATTATTTCCTATTTTCTTGCTTGATTGAAATAAGTGTCCCACTTTCAGGGAAGGGTAAGTTAACCGTGGTATACCAGCATGATGAAATATTGCGCATCCATTAAAAGATGCTGACATACTTTTGTTGTGCGTATATATTAATAAAATCTCAGAGCAATTTGGCAATTCTTAAATAGATTTATCTTAGAGATGTTTATCACAGGACTTTATAATAACATAAAGCTGAAAACAGCTTAAGTTATCTATTAACAAGAATCTGGTTAGATAAATTAGGATACATACAAACAATGAGGCAAGCACTGATATACTGAAAGGATCTCTAAGATGTATTATTAAATTTTTTTAAAGTTTCAGGAAAAATATGTCATTTTTAAGGATTATAAAAATACATATACACTTATATAAAACACATGCTTATAGATGCATATATGTGCTTAGGAAAAGGGTTATGTCCTTTAGATTCCAAAAATCCCAATTAGAGTTTTGGGAATGTCAATAAAGCCAGGAGAACTGGGGCTGACAGTCCGTCGTGCTCCCCTGTGGCCCCCAAAAGGCACACCAGGGGAAACAGGGCGGAGGACAAGTCCACACGGACAGGAGCCAGCTGGGAGGGGCGGGCTGGTGCCCAGCACCAAGGCCAGCTCAAGACTCAGGTCAAGTCTAAGTGGAGCTGGTGGGAGGCCTGGCCTGCTGTGAACCAGGGACCAGAGGCAGCCAGGCAGCCGCGTACAGTGAGATGGGGTGCAGGAGGGGCTGTACAGAGGGCTGGGGGGCTAGCGCATTTCTTTTGGAAAGTAGGAGTTGGGGGTGTGGTGGTACTGGTTGCAAAATTCTGGCCTCTCTCGCCTCTGTTGCCTCCTGGCAACAAATTGTTTCTGTGGGCCAGGAAAAAAATCTTAAAAAAGAAATTATGTGCGTGTCTCTAAATCTTAACAGAAATATGCCTACAAGTCATGCCGACTCCTGAGTTCCTGGGTTAATGATCTCATCCAGCGACTGAATTTCTTTAATACCTGGGCCAAAATGGCTTCCACTGCGATACACCGTAGGTACGGGTGACACTACTTTATATCTCTTCCTTCCTTCTGCTTCTAGCTTACCAGTTTACAGCATAAATCCACATGCTCGGCCTCGCTGGGCTCCCACAGCAACATGTGAATTAAGCGAGGGAGGGATTCCTGTCTTCAGCTCAGGAAGGAAATGGCAACTAAGAAGCTGAGAGTCACTCAGCTCGAAGAGAAACAGAGCCAGAACCTAGTACATTTCTCTTTCCTGTATTCTACATCGTGTTTTGTCTTGTGAAGCTAGCAGGGAGAAACAGGAAAGAAATACGAATCAGTTACATGTTATTTTTAAACGTATTTAGTACATAATATAAAATAATTTGAAAGGCATGAGCGTTAACAATGAGTGCCTCACCGTGTGTCAAACATTTTTCTAAGTGCTTTACTCGTACTCACTAAATTCTCACAGTAACCCTGTGATATGAAGTGGGTATCATCATCTTCCTCATTTTAGAGATGAAAAAACTGAGGCACAAAGACACGAAATAACTTCCCCAAGTTTTCACAACTATAAAATAGAAGTATTGAGATTTGAACCCAGAAAACCTGGTTCCAAAGTCTGTGCCTAACTGTCTCTTAGACCCTGTAACTATGAGTGAGTTACTACGTGTCCTGTTAGAGAAGTCGGTAACTCAGAAACAATGCCCAGCCAGGGTTCCCGCCCTAATCACAACACCTTGTTACCCAAACGTATTGCCTTCTAGTGCGTCCTGACCTCATGCGCTTTAGAGCCACGCTGGTTTCCACTTCTGTACAGGACAAGGTGCCTGAGTGAGGAAGAGTCCGGGATGAACAGGATGGGAGGGAGCTGGGAGGGACTGGAGGGATTTGCTCAGATCACCTGACAGTGTGCCGCTATTATGCCCATACCCACCCCAACCTGTGACCTCCCTTCCCGTAGGTACATGAGACTCACCACAGCTTGGAAGCACCCTGTCCCATCACCTAGCCCAAAACCCAAACATCCTTCTGATGAAAACAGTGATTTCTTTGAAGGGTTTCCTGCAAGATACTGGCTCCCAGCTTTCTTCTTTCCACAAGGTGAGCTTGAGAACCAGGACCAGCCCCACACCTGGCCCAGGCCAGTGTGTACCCAGTCCCTTCAGCACCAGCCCCTGTCCTGCTCCCCTTTAGAATGAGAGCCCACAGGACAGCGCCTGCGCCCTCGCCCTCCGCAGGTCCCAAGGCCTCCCGCGGGCACTCAAGCAGCCTGTCCCCTCCCACCCGCTTCCCTCCCTCACCCCGTCTCCTCACACACAGCAGCGCTTTCTCATCTCTAGGCCACGGATTCTGTGATGTCAAAGGCCAACACTAGGTCCCTCCCAAAGGCCGCTGCATGTTAAGGTGGGACTCCTGCAGATGGGCACCTACCCCAGGGATTGATTCAGCCGCAGGGCAAGCTCTAGGCTCATACAAGTGGGGAGGAAGTCAAGGGGTCTCCAGCGTCAGGCACGACTGGATCCAGGAGATCCGTTGCCCCCCCGTTTCAGTCTCAGCCTGTGTCCTTGTATCTTAGCTCTGTTTCCAGTATATGCAGGTCTTTTTTTTTTTTCCTGCTGCATATAGCCTTTCTCTGTGAAACCAAGGGAAGAAATCGTCACGAGCAGCTTGGCAAGTCCAGAGGGAAAAGAGCCTTCCTTTTTCCCAGTGCCCATATGTCATTTCCTGAGAAAGGCTCTGACATACTCGGTCTTGTACGTGCCCCTGGGACCTATCTTTGTTGCCAGGAGGATGAAGTAGTATGGTCGCCAAGTTTGGGTCAGAAGTAGATAAAGTCCCAGGATTTATATGAGAGGAGCACTGGTCCTACAAAAGCAACCCACGTTCCCCAGGAAGCGCGTGCAGCTGGCCAGACTAAGAGGCGGCTGGATTTAATCTCCTCCCTGCAGCCTAGCCTCTCACCCCGCTCCTGCATTTCCTGACTCTTTCTTCTCCATTCTTCCCTCCCCATGAGACATCAGTGGTGCTCACCCCGCAACCCCCAGAATCTCTGGGACGTGCACAGTCCCTGAATCCCTGAGACTCACTAGGAACTTGTATGTTTTCCTCCAAAGCCTTTCTCACTGCTGTGCTTCAAGACTATGGACGGTCCCAAGGACTCTCTATCGATAGCCTGACTTTTACCCACCACGTGATCTCTGACACCACTAACATCAAAGAGGAGGAGTTCTCCATCATCATCCAAAGGAAACTCAACATCGTCAGGAGAGCCTTTAAGGTACTGGAGTAATCATTCATTCATTCATTCGTTCATTCGTTCGTTCCTTCCTTCCATCGCTCATTTCCTCAGCAGACCTTTATTCCACACTCGCCGTGTGTCAGGCACCCACCGGGCACTAGACAGGCGGCATAGCCAAGGCACAGCCCCCCTTAAAAATGCCATCAGACTTGATCTTCCCATTCTTTCCAGGGGTATAGAGAGAATTGTAGGTAAATGAAATGAATAAAAGATTTAAATACATACAGTAAGTGAACTTCATAACTATCCTGTTATAAGTGGAGACTGAAAGCCGCTGAGATCGGGCCTGAAAGGCAAGATTTCAAATCAGTGGGGCAAACCTCTCCCCATGGCTGCTCGCAGCCAAACTGCCACATGTGGTCAAATATACAGAACATAAAATTTACCATTTTAACTATTTTTAAGTGTGCAGTTCAGTGACATTAATTATATTTGCAATTTTCTGCAACTATCACCAACACCTATCTCCCAATCTTCCCAAACTGAAACTCTGCACCATTAAACACTTACTCCCCGATCTAGCCACCATTCTACTTGTCGTCTCTATAAGTTTGACTGCTGTAGATGACTCAGATAAGGGGAATCGTGCATCATTTGCCCTGTTGTGACTGGCTTATTTCACTTAGCATGTCTTTAGGGTTCATCTCTGTGTCAGAATGTCCTTCGTTTTTTTTTTTTTTTTTAAGATTTTTTATTGGGGAATTGGGGGGATGGGAACAGTGCTGGGGAATTGGGGAAAGGGGAACAGACAAGTTGCTGTCGTTTTGTTCTTCAATCTAGTTGTGGATGATGTTGCTTCACTGGCCCAAGTTGGCACCATCATTGCGCTCTTCTCTGGCGAGGCAGATCAGTCGCCGGCTTCTGGACGGCCGCTCACTGCGGCTGCTGGCCGCTCACGCTGGCTGCTGGCCACACACGGTAGCCCATGGCAATCCACTGCCACAGGGACTGCAGCCCACGCCGTCGCCGGCGACTCACGGCAGCCCAGCTCCAGGTTGAGCTGTTGTTCAGCATCTTAGCTGTAGAGGGCAGTGTCACTGGCCCTCATATGTGGGATCCGAACCGGGGCCCTCTGGCGTCCCAAGCGAGTTCTTAACCATTGCGCCACTCGGCCGGCCCCAGAATGTCCTTCGTTTTTAAGACTGGATATTTCATTGTATGTATAGACCCCTCTGTGTCTTAGCCCAGGCTGCCATAACAAAATGCCACAGACTGGGTAGCCTCACCAACAGGAATTTATTTTCTCACATTTCTGGAGGCTGGAAGTCTGAGATCAGGGGGCCAGCAGAGAGCTCTCTTGCTGGCTTGCAGACAACCACCTTCTCGCCGTGTCCACCTTCCCGCCATGTCCTCACATGGCCTTTGCTTGGTGGGCATGTGTGGAGAAAGAGCAAGATCTCTGGTGTCCCTACTCATCAGGATAGCTAATCCTATTGGATCAGTAACCCCACCTGTATGACTTCATTTAGCCTTAATTTTTTCTCAGAGGCCCCATCTCTAAATAGAATCACGCCGAGTGACAGGGCTTCAACACATGCATTTGGTTGGGACACAAACATTCAGTCCCTAACACCTCATTGTGTTCATCCATTCATATGTCAGTGAACCCTTGAGTTGCTCCCATCTTTTGGCTGTTGTGAATAATGCTGCAGTGAACATGAGTGTGCAAATGTCTGAGTTCCTGCTTTCAATTATTTTGTGTATATATGTAGGAGTGGAATTGTTGGATCATATTGTAATTCTGTTAAATTTGGTGTGGGGGATGCCATACGTTTTCCATAGTGGCTGCACTGTCTTATATTTCCACTAGCAACACAAGGGTTCTAATTTCTCCACATCCTCACCAATACTTGTTATTTCCTGGTTTCTGATAGTAGCCATCCCAGTGGATGTGAAGTGGTATCGCACTGTGGTTTTGATTTGCATTTCCCTGATGACTAGTGATGTTGAATGTCTTTGCATGTGCTTATTGGCCATTCGTATTGCTTCTTTGGAGATATGTCTATTCAAGTTTTTGTCTATTTTTTAATCAGGATTTTTGGGGTCTGTTGTTGAATAGTAGGAGTTTCTTACGTATTCTAGATACTATCCCTTATTTGATATATGATTTGCAGATATTTTCTCCCATTCTGTGGGTTTCCTCTTCACTCTATTGATAGTGTCCTTTGCTAGTTTTTTCATTTTAGTGTAGCCCAATTTATTTATTTTTTATGTTTTCTGTGCTTTTGGTGTCATATCCAAGAAATTAACAAACCCAGTGTCATAAAGGTGTTCCCTTAAGAGTTTTATAGTTTTAGCACTTAAGTTTTGGTCATTGATCCACTGCGAGTTAATGTTTGTATAGTGTAAGGTAACAGTTCATGTTGTATGTTGATATCCAATTTTCACCATTCGTTGAAGAGGCTGTCCTTTCCCCATTGAATATCTTGGCACCTTTATTGCAAATCATTTGAGCATGTGACTATTTCTGGGTTCTCTATTCTGTTCTGTTGTTCTATGTCTGTCTTTATGCTAGCAGCACACTGTTCTGATTATCGTAACTTTGAGGGGTCATCATGTGTAGACCAAAGCCTACAATGTTTAAGCGCTCAGAGCAGGAAAAGAATGAAGCACTCACCTTAGAGCCTGGGGAAACCAGCGTTGCACAGCGATGGGCCCTCACTGGGCTGGAAGGGAAGCAATCGGCCTCCTCTGTGGCCACCCTCGGAGTGAAGCTTCTATTCCAGGAAGTGTCCCGCCTGGGAACCTGCTGACACCACCTCTCTCTGATCTTAGTGCACAGATTCCACACACGTTGGAGTTCACGTTTTTGGTTTATTCATCGAAGGGGCAAGGTGGAATCATGAAGAAAAAATTCTAGAAGACTCGCTGCCTCATGAAATACATTGTGATTTTCCTGAAATATACTTCTTGCCAACAAAGGTAAGCACCCGAAAGTTTACCACAAATCTTAAACCTCTCAGCTTTCCCTCAGGAATATAAGCCTTCCCTTCTGTTTCTCATTCCCTACGAGTTCACTATGGAAATTGGATGATATACTTCAGACAGAAACATTTAAACTAGCCCAAAATATTGCTAAAATCTACAATAGATGTTATGCCAACATCCAATGTTATTTCTCATGAATATGTACTTATAAAGCCATGATTACACTTTAAAATTAAATTATCCAGGCATCATTTCCATATGCAGTTACAAAACCACCTAACCTTAAATGTATTGAATTTGTAACAAACCCTCCAATCTAGCATATTTGAAAATGTGAGCTACTGGTTTGCTTGAACTATGCAGTTTGACTATTGGATCTTTTTTCTTTAAGATTTCTACCAAAACACCAAGTGCTTCTAACCAGACAGATTCAGAACGCTATACTTTTGAATGCCCAGTTTATCAGACACCTGAGAGGTCACGGACTCTGACAAGCACTTGCTCACCCTCAAATGCTTTAACATCAGTGTCTTTATCCACAAAGAAACCTCCTAGTCACTGGATCACAATGCAAGTTGCATTGCTGTGTGAAAAGAATGAAAAATAAACTTCCATACAGAACCATTGAATTTCTGACTACAACCAGATTAACGTTTCAAGGTACTCGCATGTAGTCAGCACCCTTCGTAAATACATCTGTGTTCAGCCATCAAAATACCATCCATTAAGAGCCTAATTACACACAATGCTGTAGAAAAGCATGGTAAAGACCTAGTCCCTGTCATTTAGGAATTAGGAATCAGTAAGAAAATGATAAAGTATAGGATTTTAACAAAAAGTACAAGGTGGTCCAATTCATTGCGAAAATAGTTTTGGGAATTATCCATGATTTGCTAAACTAAATACATGACTATTATCTGGGACTTGGGACCCTCCGCCTACCCCTTCAAGCTCCCACTTTCTGAGAGCCTCCATAGAAACAGCAGTTGGCCAGGGGTCCCGTTTGCCTTTTGGATTCCCTGTGGCCCAGGAGGGTCCCAAACAAGTGATCCTAGGAAGACACGGGAGTGGTGGCAATGGTCATCTAAGGCTAAGGACTCCTGTTCCAATCCCAGTGATCCCGAGTTATACGCCAAAAAAAAAAAGGCTCCAAAGTGACCAAAGAAACATCTTTTCATTTCAACTTTATTTCCAACTTAAAAAACTGCATTATAAAACTTGTCAAATAAACATGTCAAAAACAAATTATAGCTGGTACCCAGAAACTGCAGCACTGTGCTAGTAACAGGCTCCCTTCTCCATCAGGGAGGTGAAAGGCCTTCCTCCCCCCCCCCCCCCATTCCCGTGGTGCATCTCATCTGGGACACCACTTTCTGGTGCCAGGAGAGCAGCGTAACAAAAACCTGCCTGCATGCATAGTACTAATGCTACTGCCAATGTCACCGGAACAGTGTGTGAGACTACCGGACGCAGAATGCTAGAGCACCCAGCCCCATGATCACAACAACATGAGCTAAATTATGAACACTGGTATCCAAATGGCTCACATATAAAATGTATAATTAAAAACCCAACATGTACATTGAATTGATTACATCCCCCTGTGGTGCCGATTCTGAGGACGGTGAGTTGAGTGATTCTGCTCTCCCATCACAGAACAATTAACAGTGAGGCTATAGCAACTTAACTAGAGTTTAATAGCTAAAGCTACCTTATTCACATCTATTAAACTAAAGAAAGAAATGATTTTAAACTAGTCCCTTAAATTGTTTTTAGATGAATAGACTTCTAAAGATGAACACAACACTTCCTTTATAGGGAGTAGAGTTCTGTAAATACAAAGGATATACAAAATACAGTATAAACTGCATGAGCTAAACAGTAGCAAAAACACACTTCAATTAAAAAAGTCAAAAACATACAAAAATATTATCCAGAAATGGCAAATTTTCAACCACCAGTGTGTGTAAAAATGTTTAAATAGTGATGTTACTCCAAAAATATATATTTATTCTATTTTTTTCTATTTGCAAAAGTTTATAAAGGCAAACACCTGCAATTGAGGTAGAAAAGCCAAATTCGCAAACTTTGGATTAAGAAAAATACCCCTCCTATGTCTTAATAGCATCCTTAACACAATAGTAAATGAATTCTAATTGTTTCAAAAATTTTACTTCATATGTGTTACTTTACAAAACTTAATTTAAAATACTGCAAATGTTTTTGTTAAAAAGATATTTCATCCTGACAATTATTCCACATTCAAAATACTGTACAGAAAAATCTGAAGTCACCATATATTACATAAAAGCTATGTATTTACATTTTCAAACATAGTTTTAGAAGTTTAGGTTAAGCAAAATACTTAATGGTTTCCCTTAAACCAGTGCTTACTAATAATAATCTTTCAACCTTCTTCACATACAGCATTTAATATAAATCTGGTTCTTATTTTCAAATCACATTAACTAGTAAACGATTTACTATAAAGGGAAATGAATGAAAATCCTACTCTCAATACAATAAAACATACATGGACTTTAAATGTAAGTGTTTTCATTTAAGAAGCAACTGAGAAAACAAAAAGATCAAAATCTGAAAAACAATCAAAACCCATAAACATCAATAGTACTCTTCCCAGTGCATTTTTAAGACTGTTTTCTGTGTACAGAGTTTTAAGGATTGAACATTTCCTATTAGAATGAGACATCTTACCACCTTTATTTATATTTTTCCTTCTGTCAATGTTAATGATTTAATCAAGACTACTTGGCTCTATCGTCCTGACTTGAAAAGAAAAAGAAGCCCAGAGATCCTCTCAGTGCAAAGGAAGGTTCCTTTTTGGAATTTTTTTTCCCTTGGTTTTGCAAACGGAAGGCAGAGCTGCGGGAGCATTTAAGAAACGGGCTAGCCCAGAATCAGTAAACGTAAGGAACTATACGGTAAGGCACGCGCTGGCAGTACTTCTCCCACGCCACACCGTATTTCTTCTTACACTGGCGCTCATCGCGGGCTTCTCGGTGGACAAGCAGCACGGTGAAGTAAATCACATAGAAATAAGGCAGAATGTGATTAAAACCTGTGGAGAACAATAGGAAATAGTATTTGGTATTTTTATTATCACCACTACACAATATGAATTTTTCCTGCTTTTCCTCAAGTCCTTGAAATGAACCATCAGATAACTTCATGTTCTTCAATAATGGGGAAAACAAGTGAACCTGCTCCCAAAAATCCCACTGATGTGTGGCAGAGGCAGTGTCTGAATTCAAACAGCTAATCAGAGAAGTGTGATTAATCCATCCTAACCACCCATCATAATCAGAACATTTGGCCCCATATTTAGAGCAAATTTCCCCATTTCCTCCCCTGCTTGGTGAGGAAAAACTGCCACCCACCACTGCAGAGCAGGGCGGGCCACACCCAGCACCCCCAAGGCTGAAACAAAATACAACCGTCGTCTTAAGAACCAAAGTGTTTCAGGATGTATGTACACAGAGGAAGAAAAAGGTAAATTCATTTGCATATATTCTGCTTAGAAAAAAGCTATCAGGCACAGTTGAAAACCACATTCTGCTTTGAGAAGGTGCAAGTAAAACTTCAGGCTCTGTGAGCTCCTCACTGCCCTCGGAAGCCAGATGAAAAGGGGCTGCAGGAACAGGGCACCAGAGCAGGAGGAGCATCTGCTATGGGCACCCCCAACCTCGGTCAGGGGGACACCCATTCACAGGTGTCCCAGCGCTGACCCAACAGAGGACGCACACCCTGTGAGCAGCTGGAGAGGAAGTAAAATTAGCACTCTTCTTAAATGCTCACCACATGGAAGGGACCACGCCAGGGCCATGATGAGATCACCCAAGTAATTGGGGTGTCGAACAAAGCCCCACCATCCAGAAACCAGAAGATTTTTTCCTGTTGAAGTATGGATGATTTTTAAATCTATATAAAAATAAAAATGCATTTGTAATGATCTCCAGACACATAAAATCTTTATGCAGTATAAATAATGTAAACATAAAACCAATACTTACGTGCAAGCTTTGGATCAGTGGGATTTTTCCGGAATGCATTTTTCTGAGAATTTGCACATCGAAAGATGACATATCCACAAACTGTAATTTTTTAAAAATTTCATATGTTAACAATTTAGGTATCACCTAATATTTAAAAGCATCTGTAATTTCACTTAGAGATTATTTCTGAGCTCCAAGGAAATTCCCAAAGTAGAGAACAGTTTGATTTCTTAAGAACAATTCAAAAACCTTTCAATCTCAGAAAGCTTAGAGAAAACGACCCTGAAATCCCACCACTTTCATCACCTACCTGAAAGGACAACTAACAGGCATAGTGACATCCATGAATAAAATCGAACGCAGCCCACATTACAATCAAACCAACACTAGAGTTCAGTATACAGAAAGCTGTAGGGCATCTGCTGTGAGTTGTGACACCTACTGGCTATAACGTGAATACTTCATATATAAAACTATAGCTTAGACTCAGTACTAGAATATCTGTCACAAAAACATATGCCGAAACCCATGCGAGCCTACAAGTTGGTAGCTTTATGTCAGATTTCAAAAATGTCAAAGTTAACAGGCCCTGACATATCACTATTTATTATACTGTCAGTCCTCAAGTAACAAGAAACAACTTCACTCCCTATTATCAGCTTAACTAAAATGTACATGTACTGTCAACAGTCACAAGGGCATGTTGACATGGGTAGCCAAACCGGTGATGAAACAAAATCTTAAGCAGCGGCCTGAGTTTCATCTTTTACCAGACACTCATCAGTGTAGCAAAACTAGCTATATTTGAAGTTCACTGCTCATTTTCCCTCCCCTCCCTCTGGCGGAGGTGTTTAATGAAGTGTATGAAAGGAAAGCCATCCTGAAGCTACCACCCCACGATTGCCCGGGATGGGCCTTAGCTGCAGCCAAACTGCATTCCTCACTCTTTCCCTGACACGTCTCCCTCGTCCCCACCACCCACCCGGAGTTGCCCCCTGCCTGACTTAGCCAACTCCCCACCCCATTTTTACCCACTACAATTCAGATCAAACACCACATCCTCCAATAGCTGACACTGATATTCCCGAGAGAAGTTCTCTGTACCTGAAACGCCCATCACACTGGGCCTCAGTCCCTCTCATGTGCTCCTTCACACGCCTCATAGTGGTGTCTGAGTGTCTTATTTCAGTTGGAATGTAAGCCCTATGAAGGCAAGACTAATTTCCCTCTTTTTAAGGTGCCCGCCACAAAAAGCCAGCGCTCGATCGGAAAAAAATGAATCACTGCTAAAACAATTTAAAATTATTAATTCAATTAAATTTAAAAGCAAATGGTTTGTTTAAAAATTATCTCTTTAGAACAAAATGATGGTTGCCAGATGGAAGAGGGTTTGGAGAACCAGGTGAAAAAGGTAAAGGGATTAGGAAATATTATACAAATTGGTATTATAGTTACAAAATAGTCATGAGGATGTATAAAGCACAGCTTAAGGAATACAGTAATATTGTAACAACTAGGCATGGTGCCGGGGTTGGGGGGAGTATTAGACTTGTTGGGGTGATCACGTCACAAGGAATATAAATGTCTAACCACTATGCTGTACACCAGAAACCAGTATAATATTGAGTGTCAATTGTAATTGAAAATTTTTTTAAATGTTTTTTAAATGTTAAAAAAATTTTTTAAAAATAAAGAAAACCTAGCTCTTTTAGAGAACTACCAAAGAACCTAAGTAAGTATGAAGCATCCATTCTCTTTGCAAGATGCAAGAACCTTCTTATCACTCATCCATCACAAATTTCTTCAAAGATGAGCTAATTATGGCCGTTTAAAGGGCATGTTATAAACACATAGATACCAGAGCACGACAGACTGGGAACAGAATATTGAATACATGGAGACTGAAATTAATACTCACGTTTCACAGCAATAATTAGAGAAGCCACCGGCCAAGACACTTCGTTTGGATGATGGACTAAATAAAAGGCTTGGAAGCTGTAGATGAATGGAACCCACACTAGGTCCCCGAAAGCCAGCATGAACCCAAATCCGTCCTGGGTAATGTCCATGGTGGTCAACACTGCTTCCTATAAGGACATGGAGATGGAAAAGAAACTTAAAAACGTTTGGGAGAGAAATTTCCTGTGTTTAAAGTATTCAAATGTAGTTTACAGTCAAATTGATAAGGGGCTAAGGGAGAGTACACCACCCAAACTTTTTTTAAAAGTGGGGAGAGGGACTCTGGTTCCCTTGGCATGTGTATCGCACTAAGTCATTCTGCCGCTTGATCTCCTGTCACTCTGCCCTCCCACTCGGTGATGAAACAGCAGATCCCAAAACGCCTCTCAGCCTGCACGCCTTTACCCAGGCCCTTCCCTTCCCCAACCTCAGCTTCGGCCTCCCCTGAGCTGCTTCCCTTGATGCCTCCATCGGACGAGGTACTTCTCGTATGCTACCAGCAGCTTGCAGGCTACAGCACACACGTGACTGTACAGTAACTCTCCCCACTAGACTATGAGAGAGAAAAAAAACAGACCATGTGTTCTCAGCTTTGTCACCCCAGCACCAGCACACTGCGTGTCTGCCCTGGCGTAAGTGTTCAAAATACATTTGCTGAAGGAATCATAAGATCACCAACTACCTTTGTTTCAGTTCCACATGCACCAATGTAGCTTCTGATCATAATCTGGCTTTTCAGGTAGCTTCCTGCATAAGCTACCTGGCAACGTAGTACACTGCTTGCCTACTTCACGTCTCATGGGAAACTAATAAAAGCAAACTAATAAAATCCTCTCTTGAGGATTTGGTTAGCGTAAGCAAGTGGCCAGATCACCTCCGGAACTGGATACCCACAGGCCAGACTCTGGGATGTGGAGACACCAAGGTCAAAGCTCAGAAGGCCCAGCCTGAGGGGCCCTAGCCTGCCTCTAACTTCAGCACAGTCACTCCGTTTGATTCCAGATCACAAAAGAGCAAACAGAGCAATGTTTCAGTTTCCCAGTGCATATCAAAGTTACATTTACATGATACTGTAGTCGATTAAGTGTGCAATAGCATTATGTCTAAAAAAAAAAAACAATGTATATACCTTAATTTAAAAATTCTATCGCTAAAAAATGCTAACCATCCTCTGAGCCTTCAGTGAGTTGTAATCTTTTTGTTGGTGGAGGGTCTTGCCTTCGATTTGTAAGAAATGCAATACCTGCAAAGTGCAATAAAATGAAGTCTGCCTGTACATATCACCGATGCAGAAACATTAGCAAGTATAAATTCTGTTGTGGAATCAGTGTTCTAGGTTTAACAAAACAGTGATACCTCTAAAGAGCATCCCCAACCCCCCACCCCTGCCCCCAAGAAAGCAAAAAAAGCCATGCATGGGTCAGAAGAAAAACAGATGTCACAAACTCTGGGCCCTTGGGCTCACACTCTAGTGGTTGAGTATTTGGGGGGGGGGGGGGTGTTTTTTTTTCAATTAGTTTCAGGTGCACAAAACAATAGTGAGACATTTACACCCCTCACAAAATGATAACCCCTCCCCCAATCTACTACCCCTGTGACATCGTGTATAGCTTACAATTCCACCGACTCTATTCCCTATGCTGTACTCCACAGCCCATGACTGTATCTAGTGATCGAATGCCTATTCTTATGCACATGGGATTTCCTGGGCCAAAACAGATTAAAAGCGCTATAAAAACATGGGCGCAGGTTAAAAAGCTGACGCAGCGGTAACAGCAAAGGCTAGTGGGCACAGGCAGGGAGTAAGAGGACACGCTGTAAACAGCTGTTGCCGGGACCCTCAGCCTCACGCAGTCAGTTCCTGGGGCCTCAGAGGCCGGCCCAGCAGAGGCTCACATAAAAGCGTTATGTGTATTTAAGTTACTACCGGGGTGCCAAAAAAATGTATACACATGATTTGTATTCATCTTTTGGTATCGGTAATATATTGAGCATTACAACTTTAATAGTTTACTTTCTTAAAATGTGTGTACATTTTTTTGGCACCCTCTGTATTCTCAGCTTCTTAAGGCGTGGCACCTTCCAATACAGAAGCATTTCTATCAACCAACCTAATAAGAAACTTATTAAGCAACTATCCAGCAGCTTTCCAGATGCAAAAGAAAAACATAAAATCAAGTCCCTTCCTCAAGAAACTTACTGTAATCTGGCTGAGATAATTGAAAACACAGAAAAATAACTTCCTGACTCTAATCAGCTACTTCTGGGGCTTTATGAAAAAATGCCTTAAGAGCTTTGCCTTAAGACACATTTTCTGTTACTAAACTATATGAATTTCTAAGCCACTTAAAAAGTGACGTATTCTCCTCACTTTGCGAAAGAAGTTGAGGCCCCACGAGGTCAGGCCACCCACCCACACTCAAAGCCCTCTGACTGCAAAGCCTGTGCTCTTATAATTAATTACCTCATTCCAGAGTGCATCCACCACATATAAGAGCTGGAAACTATTAACCAAAATCATCGCCAGGGACGGAGTTGCATGATCGCGATCCTTCATCTCAGTCAAAAGCATCACCAAGTTAATAACCACCTGAAATAAAAGGGACAAGAACGGTCTCGAAGCACATCCTCAGAGATCCTCAGCAAGTATGGGGGGGAGATGGTAACTTCCCAGCTGGGAGACCTGCAGATACCACCTCACCTAGAATAAGATGCATCACATCATGAACCCCTTGACAGGAGGCACTGAAAGAACATCATTTCGGTGGAATCCTCGCCAAAATGCACCACTTGCTCCAATCATGAGAAAACACTGGACTAACCCAAATTAAAGGATCCTCTTATAAAATAGCTGACCAGTACTCTTCCAGGGTCAAGGGCGCGAGAGACAAGGAAAGACGAAGCAACTGTTACAGACCAGAGGAGACTAAAGCCAAACACCCACAAAATGCACCGTGGGATCTGCCAAGCATCCTGGAACCGAGCAAGGCCGACAGCAGAAAAATGGGTGAAAACTGAAATAAGGTCAGTGAATTTAGTTAGTAACTCTGAAACTGTGTTCCTTTGTTGTTCCTGATCATTATACTGTGGTTCTACTGGGGACGTGGGGTGAGGGACATAAGGTAGGTAGCTCTACTATATTTCGTAATTCTCCTACATGTCTAAAATTAGGTCAAATACGTTGTTTTTAAAGGGAGAGGCAAACACATTTTTCTTACATGAATTTACCTACACTGACACTTTCCTATATAAATAGAAATGGGTATAATCAAAATAAACCAAAGTCTCTTAAGGTTTAATAATAACCTGTAACAGGGCCTCGTAACCCTCTGGATAATATTTATAGTAAGAAAATATTTTAAGTAGATTTAGGGAAAGCTATAATTATTCCTAAAAATATACCACCCACAGCTTGCTTTAAAGTTGTCTACAATTCTTTCTAAATCCAAGACTAATTTGTACTACTGAACTGTAATTAAAAAAAAAGGACATACCCATCCGATCAATCCAGGGCGCAATTCACAAAAGTATTTCAGATCAAAAATACCAATCCGAGGATTTAATTCACGGCCAATGAAGAAATCATAGATGACGTTTCCTGAGAAGGGAAAAGTTCTTATGCAAACAGAGCTTTTTGGAAAAGCTCTATTCCAAACCCAGTTATGAGATTTTTAAAATGCACTGTTGTCTATTATCCAGGGTCCAATTCAGTTGCCTCCAAGAGCCCGGCAAACAAGCACGGTGACAAGAGGTAAGAAGGACCAGTGAGGAGTGAGGCTGCCGGGATGCTGGCCCCATCCGGAAGCTTCCATGCCACTACACAGGCACGGGGGCCTGTGGGGACAGATCCCCTCATTTTTAGGGAACATGGATTTTTTTAAGTGTAGACTCACAATTTTTTAAAATAATCAATTTAGTTTTTTTTAATGTTTAAAACTTTAGGTCAGAATCAAATTTGAAATCTCTTTGTTGATTATTTTTTTAAAGGATGTTTACTGTTTGGGACAAAAAAATACTAGTTTTAAATTATGATACTTCTAACATTGCTAAAATGTTACTACAAGTAAGCTACTGAAATGTCTTATTGTCATCCAATGACTAAACAAGGAAGAGAAACTAAGACTCAAACATAGTTTTTTTCTTTAAATTTTTTCTTCATCTTTTTATTCTTATTTCTCTTCATCTGTCATAAACTGAAGCTAGAATGCAATGTAAGCAAGCCTAGAGGTGGTTGTCGGAGGGACATATTCCCGACAAGCGTTCCAACACTGCTCACCAGAGCTGGCCGGCGACAGTTCATCCCAGGGTGCTCGCAAAGCCCGCATGTAGAGATAAACACTCAAGAGCACAGAAAACACAATGGCTGCCAGTGCTAACTGAAGGAAATGATCATACACATAAGAGAGCGTTACGCCCCAGAAGAGAGATGCTCCAACAACAGCAGCCGTGAGGATAAAAGCATAGAATCCTTTAAAAAAAAAAAAATATCGTTAACCCAGGGTTCACATGAGATTTATCCCATTATAAAATAATGCAATGTTATTTTTTTAGTCTTAATTTCATAATTCAGGCTAAATACACACAAATATACAAGGGGTAATCTTCATTTTCCCCTTAATAGGTGCCGTATCGTACAATTTTTCAACTATTTTAACATAAGTTATCCTTTTTTCATTGTGAACAGTCATTACATACTTTTAATTAAGAGAAAGCTGAAAAGAAATGCATAGAAATTCACTGTTAAAAAGCACAAAAGAACCTCAAATTTCACATAATCAAAAGTGGTTATCTCTAATTTATTATTTAAATCCACATTTTCCACATATCAGGTTTATTCCAAAGAGTAACTTTTTTTTTTTTAATATGGAACGCTTCACGAATTTGCGTGTCATCCTTGCACAGGGGCCATGCTAATTAATCATCTCTGTATCGCTCCAATTTTAGTATATGTGCTGCTGAAGCGAGCACCAAAAAGTAAGTTTTAACACTTTAAACTTTTGGTTTAACTTTTTAAAACATTCATTTAACTCCCATAAAATTTATGAGTATTAAAGGAAAAGAATGGTAGATAAAACACTTTCTCCCTCTCTAGCCTACATGGATTAAAAAGAAACATTCAAAATGTCTTAGTAATCTCCTCCATTTACTATGGTAAAATCTCATGAGGAGAGAGCTCATAATAGAACCACAGTAACCAGATAAGGAAGCTTAAAAAGAAAGCTCAAGCAACTAGCCCAGCCATGGCCCACTCGCTCCAACGGTGCCAAATCCGTTACTACGCTCAGTCTCTGAGCATGACGCACCCTCAGATGGAAGTGAAAGCAGAGACCAAGACCACCTGGAAAAAACATAAATCAGTACCCTAGAGAGAACCCCACAAAACACAAATATCAACAGACCTCCCGCCCCCCGCCCAAGGCAAAAGGGGAAGCCCCACCTCTCCCCAGACTCAGCCTCCAAGACACAGGAGAGAGCAGGTGTCAGAGATTCTGCCTCCAGCAGCAAGGAATTTGGTAAAAGTAAACAAAATCTCTGACAATGGTGGCACGTAAGTGTTAAGCATCCGCCATGGGTCAGGCACTGCGCCAGGTTCAATGCTTTACGTGCTTGGCACAGAGGGCAGAAGGGCTTCCCTTTGAGAACCCAGTACAGTGATTTCAAACAGAGTGGATGCCAGACAAGTCACTGAACAAGTACCCAGAGTTAGGTAAGAAGCGATAGGATAAAAAAAGGCCAAGAATTAAAATTTACAATGTCATTCCCAAGAAAAGGAAAACAGCCTAGACAATCTAGTTAAAAAGCAAAACCTCTTAAGGATAACTATGCTAGACACATATTCCTTAATTGTGCTTGATTAGCCTCCCATGCTAAAGTTGGACTGCTCCTCTTAGCACACACTCCTACCAAGAGTGCCCAGATCAAGGGAGGCAATGTCTGCCCACTTCTCGCGATGCCTGGTGAGACCGACTACAGGCCACTCACTTTCCTGGCACCAAGTGCACCACAATGAACACAGCCAAGCCCCCCGCCCGCCCACGAAGCTCTCTTCTAGTGGGGAGACTCCAGTGAACACTGATGTCAGGAAGGCATAACTGTCATAGAGAATAAAACAGGGTAAAGGAGAGAAAGGGACCTGAAGGCTTCTCTGAGCACAGACATGACAGAGATGAAGCAGCTGCCATTAGGCACTTGGGGCGAAAGCTTCCCAGCAAAAGCGTGGAGAATATATCCAAGAGACATATCCAAGGTGGCGGAGCAAAGTGAGCCAGGCCAGGCGGCTCCCCAACAGCAGGAGTGGGCAAGAAGCCCACATCAATCAGTGTAGAGCTTGTGAGGCCATGCGAATGACTCTGGATGATAAAATATACAGACAAGTTTATCTGAATTAGTGATAAATGTTACTAAGAAAATAGGTAATGGGGCAGAGTGACTGAGGGGCTATGTTACTTTACGTGGCATAATTTTTACATGTTGGTACAGGTATGAATGATTTATCTGTGTGCCCTTCAGACTACTAAGAGAGAATTGACTATTTACTACTCTGGTGTAATCAGCTTTGACAGTCTAAAAAGCACAACACTCAAAAGTTTTCAGCTATTTGAGTCTTAAAAAAAAAAAAAATCACCATTTAATCTATACTTGAGTCTTCTTCCATCGGAAAGAGGTGTTCCTTCTACAACCTTAAAAGAAAAAAAATTTTTTTAATTGAAAAAATTTAAAAGCACAACACGTAACCATCATATATATATCTCCTGATATCACTTAAATTTCAACATGCCTAAAAAGGAGGACCATCTTTTGGTGCGGAAATTTAGTAACAAGTTTCAAACATCGAAGGGCAAACCCTTTGGTGAAGCAAGTCCACCTTCATGAATTTGTCTTAAACCTAGTGATAACTTCTCAGTGTATAAGCCTATCGCATGTGATTCTTTTACCTCCAATAAGAAAGAGACTGTGAGCATGTCATCTCTTCATTCAGAACCCCCATGGCATACACACCCATACAGCAGGCACTCAACAAACATACCACTTGAACGCAATGAGTTAAAATAAAAAGTCCACTTGCTCGATGGCAGTCATGTTTTACTACCCAAAATAACTAGAAATGTTGCAAGTCATTTTAAACTGTAAAATACTAATATGGTATCCTTTTTCTTGGGCTAAACTACTTTACCCTTTCTTTCATTAAGCTATGAAAGGGAACCCAGGAGAAATGTAATACCTTTTGAGATCACAGGATTAGCAAAACCCCACATGCTAATTTCAAATGATCCTTATCTATTAAAGGTACCTCACAGATACTGTGTTGTGTTTTAGTTTGTGACTATATATATATGCACATACATAAAACTTTTAACCATCAAAACTGCTTCTCTTAATAAATATGACCTAGTTTGAACAAGCCTTACCTAAGTTCATCTGAATTTGTGATTTTTACTGTAGAGCTGTACATAAAATGCCTGAAGGTCCCCATCACAAAAACCTCACTAAAGCCAACAATGAATGCTGCGGTGTGATTCCCCAGCATGCAGTCTGCAGCTCTCCCCTCCTACCACTGGCACTCGCCACTCCTCCTAAAACTGACCCTCGGGTTTACAGACAGTTGATAAACTTGCAAAGCCCCTCGGGTTTACAAACAGTTGGTAAACTTGCAAAGCCCCAAGAATAAGATCTCTAAGTGAATTATTTATTGCTTAAGGAATCTCATGTTCCTTTAAATATATCCAGTATTCTACTGAAAGAAGAAAAAAAACTATACTTAGCAATGAGGAGAAAATTTAAATATACTGTATAAGTTTGAAAGGAACATAAAATGTTCCTGATAACCCATTACTGAAAGAGATGAGAATTAGAAACTCAGCATATTAAAGAAAAAAGTAAAAGATGCAGACTAAAGTCCACTAATCATTTTAAATGCTACACCTGAAATGACATATACTAAGGGGGATTTTTTTTTTTTTTTCAGCAACATTTTCCATCGGTCACGCTATTTTGCAAAACAGCTTATTCTTTTCTACTTGGCTTGGAGGGTTACACAGGAAACCTCAATCGGATTTTTAAAGTTCCACTTGATAAACAGGTGTTATAGGATACAAGAGTAAAAAGGCTTAACTAAGTAACTTTGGGTCGTTATGACCAAGGACAGCTTTTAACCCTAAAACGACTGCCAATTTCTTTATATAAACATGGAAGAGAAGGGAGGAAAACCTCACGGCACTCTGCCGTGCTAACAAAAACTTACCTTCCCAATTGGCAGCAAGTAGAACAGAGCCTGGACAAAAAACCAGAGGAGGTAGACACCGAACACTCTGGTTTCCCATAATTCATACAGAGCTGGCAAAGGAGGTGGGAAATTCAGAAGACTGGGCTCTTCCTGTGTACACAGCAGCAGCAGCAGGAAGAGGAAGGCAGGCAGGCCGAGCATGATGAGAAACACACCTGCAGACAATTGGTGAACAAGGCTCAATTTTCAATCCAGTTTTTGTGTGTTTTGGGGTTTTTTTTTCCAAGAATCATTTGGGTTTTTTAAGGTCAGAACTCAATTTCAGCTAGCTGTTTGCAACGAATTTCTAATATACCATCAAGAAGTCCTAATCTCTACCTGGCATGTCCAGTGGGCCAGCAGTCACGGCCACTAAAGAAGTGAAACAGCAGCTGTCCAGCCCTGAACAGCTCAAGTCTACCTCAGAAACCAAGCTGTAGAATGGTTAAAATTCAACCACTATGGGAGTAAACGTGTTGAAACTCCAGCAAATTAAAGATCAGAACATCGGGCCGGCCGAGTGGCACGATGGTTAAGAACTGGCTTGGGACTCCAGAGGGCCCCGGTTCGGATCCCACATATGAGGGCCAGTGACACTGCCCTCCACAGCTAAGATGCTGAACAACAGCTCAACCTGGAGCTGGGCTGCTGTGAGTCGCTGGCGACAGCGTAGGCTGCAGCCCCTGTGGCAGTGGGTTGCCATGGGCTACCGTGTTTGGCCAGCAGCCGCGGTGAGCAGCCATCCAGAAGCCGGTGACTGATCTGCCTCGCCCGGGAAGAGCACAATGATAGTGCCAACTTGGGCCAGTGAAGCAACATCCTCCACAACGAGACTGAAGAACAAAACGACAGCAACTTGTCTGTTCCACTTCCCCCAATTCCCCAGCGCTGTTCCCATCCTCCCAATTCCCCAATAAAAATCTTTAAAGAAAAAAAAAATCAAAACATCTAAAAATTATCAGCCTAATTTAAAACAACAAAAATACTTTATATCCCTAAGTTTCTAACAAAATAGCATCACGTTCACGTAACATGTGAACAGATTTTCAGTGATACTGGATGCCATCTTTAACAAGCCACCTAGCCAATGGCTAGAGCTTCCAACATACAAAGCCATTAAGCCCCGCAGGATTTGGCCAAGAACTATTCTCTTTCACTAGCTCATAAAATCTCACCAGTACCACCCACTTAACTCCAAGCCTCTGAGCACTTCCACTCTGACTCTCATAAGCAACCTATCTAGCAGGTAGGGAAGACACCATGCTATGCCCACAGCTGCTTCCCACTGCTCCAAAGCCAGGCCCCGTCACCTCGGGTCTGATGATCAGCAGACTTCCCTGTCCCTGATTGTCTGCCATTCTTCCAGTATACAACTCTGACATTAATCTGCCTTTTATCACGTTGTTGCACTTCTTTGCTTAAAACCTATCACCAAATTGCTAAAAGTTTTACTTATAGCCACACTGGTACCCTTTCTACTCTGTGATAATCCTCAAAACTGCTCCCACCTCAGGCCTTTGCACCTGCTGCCACACCTGACTGGACAGTTCTTCCCCAGGCTCCCCCTGGCTCAGAATTCGTCAGAGAATTGCAACTCCTGCCCGCACGCCCCACCTGTCCTCCCTAAGCCCGGTTCTGTCGCCTACCAGGTACTCCTCCAAACTCTAAGTCCTTCTTCTGTGCAGCTGTCACTTCAAAGGTTCTCAGCGATGGAGATGCTCTTGTAACAATTTTTTCTTCCATAGAATCTATTTCTTTCAACTTGGTTTCTTCTCTTCTTGGACGAAGGCTGTACTGTGCAGGTATATAACTACTTTCTTCAGACATATGGAATTTTTCCTAATTAAAAAAATAAAAAGTATTAACTATCTGTAGTCAATAATTATCATTAATGTTACCACGTTAACTAATTCAGCATCTTAAAATAGCCAGATATGAATAGAATAAATTTGTTATATTCAGTCTTAATTTAAGGACAGAATTTTAGAAAAGACTATATAAGAAGTATTATGATTTTCAATGTGCTTCTTTAGGGAAAGTCACTTTAACAAAGAAAAAAATGACCCAAGATAAAAATGAACACTGTTATACCTGCGTGTTTTGGTGAGGTATGTCATTCCTCTCTCTGTGCTCAGGCTCGCCATTGTATCTGTTGATGCTATTTCTAAATGGCTTCCAAATTGAAGAATATAAAACATTTTAGCCATAAGAATCATAGTATATTAAAAAAGAACATGATGGTGAACTTTTACTATTGTGAAATCAAGCAATAAAACAAGCTAAAGATTTTCACAGCTTTAATTCTGAAGAATTCAGTTGACTTTAGTTAAAAATGAACAGGAATAAAGTTCACTAGAATTTCCCAATCTTCAAAAGATTAGATTCTACAATATAGATTTCCACATAAGATCTTTGGTCTTTTAAACATAATTAGGCTGAAAGTTATTATTTCATCGTTCATTGACAGATATGTTAATAGCATTTGCTATAAGACTGGTCAATTCATTAATGGGTTAAAAAAAACTGGTCAATTGGCAATTGGTTCATTTTAATGGGTTTAAAAAAAAAAAAAAGGAATACTGCCCCCAAAATAATCAATAATGGGAAGGTAAGAAGAAATAGTGGGTACTTACAGAGTATTACTGTGACCTACACACTGCCTAGTTTCTGAATTTCATGCTGCCTAAATTTTATTTAGCCTTAAATTCCTCTCCCTATGTCCCTTTTTTTGATTCAGTCATGTCCCTTGAAGGTATATATATTCTCTTCAAGCAGTGGAGGGAATTTCCTATCAGACTGAATAGGGCAAGTGCTTCAGCTTGCAAAAGGTTTTTCAGGCAGTGCATGGCTGAAATCTGTCACTTTGCTCCTATTTATAAGGCACCCACCTCAACAGCACAACGACAGCACTCTCAGTTTTTCAGATGTCCAATATATAATCTATAATCACAAATGTAATCCTGTAACACGGCTAGTGAGCTGACCCTAAACTGTGCCCACTGCAAATCTGACAGGATGCTCACACAGTGAGGCAAATTATTGCAAAAGACACAATTAAGGGTCAACAAGAACAAGGATAACATGACGTTCAAAGCCACATTCAGCTTTAGTATGGTCTTTCCCATGCAACACACCATCCCCAGTTCCACAGTGGGTACACGGTGGGTCCGGGGCTCTCCTGGTGAGGCGCAAAGCCAGTCTGTGGCTCTTGGGTCACCAGGACTATAAGAAGGTTACACTGCAAAAATAGAACAGTCACTAGTAATGCTAAAAATGAGAATGTGACAGAAAGCACACAGGATCTGTTACCTAACCTGAGTCACCTGACTAGTAACGAGAGCCACTAATAGATAGAATGTTCAAACTCACGAGTAATTACCAAAATGCAAGTTAAAACGGTGAGGTGAAAATCTCTAGCATATTGGCAAAAAAAAAAAATTACAGTAATACTCAAAATGAGAAAATGGGCATTCATATACTACTGATGCTGACATACACTTTCTTGAAGCAATTTGGCAATTTATATTAAAAGCCTCAGATCTGCTCTGTCCATCTGACCCAGCAGTTCCAGTACTTGTAAGAATGTAGCCTAAGGAAATATCAGATGTCGTTTAAGAATGTTTGTAACAGTGAAAATTTAGAAAGAAAAAAAAGGTAAGTGTCTATCAGAAAGGAAGCTGACTTGAACAATTATGTTACATCTATATGATTTATGGTATATCCAAACAATACCACACAACAAAAATGATGTAAAAAAATGTAACACAGAAGGTTATTCCCAATATTTTAAAATTTAAAAATCTGACTGCAAAATAATCCATTTTCTAAAATTATTAAAAATCTGTGTGCATTTTATCCAGAAAAGAGGTAACGATAAGTGACTATCATAAAAATTACCTTTATTCAATTCTTTTTACTTAAACATAATTTCTATTTGGTCTACCTAAATTATTCATAGTGCAAGGTCCGGCAGGCCCCACACACCCTCATAGTTCCAAGCTTGAACTTTGAAAGTAATTCCATTAAAATTATCATCTTTGAATATAGAAACGATCGAGTATAAAAATGCTAAGAGAGCAAGAATTTGTTTTTATGACATACACTTATGTCTCATTATTTTATACATGAACTTCTATACACTATAAAAACTTAGTTCAAACTACAATCTACGTCTGTTTCACATTTAAACACTGCTTTTTTAAAATACCACAGTATTAAATAGGACTCCTGTAACTTAAAAACATTCTTTTTCATTGGTATTTAACAGCATTATACCTTCCATTCTTCCAAACATTATTTTTTTTATGTAACCTCCCAAAGTCATCACCTTAGACTTGATGTTTCACTGACATTTTAATATTATTAATTGCAAATAACATGTGTAAACATAAAGAGGAAGACTGCATTTTGAACAGATAAACACTGTATAAAGGACAGAGATTCCCCACAGACACCTACACGTACCAACACCAGTGGAGTCAACTTCACTTCTAGCACCTCCTTCCTCATTTCCTTAATGTCAACCTGGTGCGAAGCAGAGGCAGATCGGCGGGTACTTTTTAGTGCTCGGCCAGGGGATCTGGAGCGTGACCGTGACTGTGACCTTGATCGTGACCGACTCCCTCGGCGTCTGGAGGGAGAACTGGAAGTTGAACCACTTTTCCTTTGCTTAAAGGAATGTAAAGGCTAGAGAGGAAGCAGGAGACAAAGAGCTTTACCACAAGTCATAATCCACGCAGACAGCAAATTAGAAGGCAGCAAAGGCAGTCATCGGTACCACTGATGCTGAACCCATCCATCCCGGGAAATCCTGGGATGGGAGAGCCCACAGATGAGGCCAGCGAGGAATGCTGCGGTAATGACCCATCTCTCGTGAGACAAATGCAGCCTTTCCACCCCTAATTCTTCTTTGAAGGAATTGCCATGAAATGAATGTGTCTAAACCAACTAGCTGTACATGTTCCCACGAACATACACAAGAATTACAGTTAACATTGATTACCGCTGAGATGATGGAACAAAAGAAATATGCACACAAACAATAACAAGAAAATTAGTCCCCCAGTCTCCCTCTCAACAAAACACACAAGCAGATCCTGAAAATGAGTACAGCTTGGATTACTTGGTGATGTTTGACCCCACCCTCGCCCACTGTTTCCAGGGACCTAGACCTGCAGAGGCCGAAGTTCCCAGGCCAAGTTCCTCCCACCCACTCTTGTGTGGCCCGGGAGCTAAGAGTGGCTGTACTGATTTTTTTAACTGATTGCAAGCAAAATCAAAGGAAGAACAAGACTTCATGACACATGAGAGTTATCTGAAATTCACATTTCAGTGTCCATAAATAAAGTTTTATTGGCACGCAGCCATGTCCATTCCCTTCCAGACTGCTGAGAGCTGCTGCCTCCCTGCAGAAACGATAGGGCTCAGAAAGCCTAAAATATTCACTCTCTGCCCCTTGATTCAAACACTGTGCTGAGCCCTGGTCTAGAGTACTCAAACTGTGGTCCGGGGGCTACGGGTTCAAGAACTGTTTGTTGCTGATCTGCAACAAGGAACGGAACTGCGAATAAGTGTATAGAAACTTTCAAAGCATTTTGACAAAGTAAATTTTTTATCTGTTGAATCTGATAAAAAGACGTCTTTGTACATCTTTTTCTTCATTTGTCTAGTAATTCACTTTTATGATATTTTTATGATATTTACACTGTGGATCAGATATTTTAAAGCCCCGGCCCTCACAAGACAGGTTGAGGGGCCCTAGGTCAGACTCAAGCCTACACCACTCCCCTGATTAAAGCCTCGGTGTTTGGGGTGAAGCCAAAACCCCTCCAGTTCTGGCTCCCCCTCCGCTGAGCTTCCCCCACCGTACCCTTCCAGCACTTGGCTGGCTGTGTGCCCCCACACCCCAAGTCTTTGGCACGCTGCCCTCTTCAGAAGCCGCCCCCTCCATCAGCTGAGCTGTTTTGCTATTTGGTCTCAGCACTCAGCTCAGGTGTCACCACCTCCGAAAGCCTTCCCTACAACCCCGTGCCCTTCCCAAACCCACGACAAACTTCCATCACAGACTGTGTTAAACCAGGGTCATGGCCAAGTATGTCTTCTCCAGTAGACTGGGCACTGTGCCTCATTCACACATTCCCAGAGCCCCAAATATAATAGTATCTGACCCAAAACAGGAGAGGAACCCTGTGCCTCCAAACAGAGCCAGAGCTGACTACTCTAAGTATAAAACTGCACCAATAGTTATTATACATCCTGCTTATTATAAACATACTCTGGCCAACTAAAGGAGCACTTACCTTGATATCACTCTCTTTCAGTTCAAGTTCGGTCCCATCTTTGTATTTTACAATGTAAAGCTGGGAATTGCTGTCATGGCTCAGAATTTCCACTTCATAATAAAGGGAACTCCCAGGCCATCGACCTCTCACCATCTCACCATCGGCAAATTTCCTACTTGGCATTTTCGAAAATCAGTCTGCATAAAGATAAAAAAATGGAGTCAATGCATACACACTTAACATTTGTCTTTTTTCATAAACTGAACACTAAACTACAACTTTCCAAAATTTTTACTGGTCAAGATTTTCGCACCAGAAAGGTCTCTGGAGGAGAAGGTATACAACTTATTTTAAAAGTGAAAACTAAAGCTTAAAGATGTTAACTGTTTTGTCCAAGGGCATAAAACCCAGATGCCATGAAATGGCAGAGTTAGGACAATACAGAGGCTGTTCTTCCTGCCACATCATAGTTCATTAGGAATCACTTTATACAGAACAGTTTAGACACTGTGGGACATGTAAGTGACACTAAGGATTAATTATGACCACGCACCAAATGGTTGCCTATGTGAAACATTAGCACCTGCACTGACCAAATTTCTCGCTAGTCAACAAAGGCACCATCTCGCAAAAGACTCGTTTTCTGATTTATACATTTGCTTGTAGTCTCACAAAGACTTTAACAATATATTTAATATTTAACAAATTACCTTTATTAAAAACAACAAAGTGGGAAAATCAGTCATGTATAATTAACATTACTATAACCCACCAACAGGGAGAAAAAAATGCCAAATCTATAATGAATAGCAAATTTGGGGGTTTTTTTCCTAAAGCATTCAAATCTTACAGCTACAGTCCCAAATGCATGCCAGGTAACTGTGCTAACCTCATACCTCTGCTAGCACAGTCCTGGCCTTCGTCCTGGCTCGCTTGTCTCCCTCAAGCCTCCAGCAGACACTGACCCCAGTTAGAACATTCTTTTCCACTGAATCAAAACATGGCCCAGCCACCCCACTGGCTCAGTTGGTTAAGAGTTAGCTTAAGAGTGCAAACTCTGAGCAACAGGGCCGCCGGTTCAATACCCACATAAGCCAGTGATGCTGCACCCAAGCTGAGCTGTCACTGAGCTGCCAAAAGGTGGCAGGATGGCTCAGCTGGTATAACAACAAGATTGCCTGTTGGATGGTGGGCTATGCCCTCCCGCAACTAAGACTGAACTCTGCACCTTGAGTTGAGCTGCCGCCTGAATGGCTCAGTGGATAGGGCGTATGCTCTTAACAAGGCCACTGGTTGACTCCCACATGAGATGGTGGCTACGCCCTCCCGCAACTAAGACTGAACTCGGCACCTTGCGTTGAGCTGCTGCCCGGATGGCTCAGTGGATAGCGCGTGCACGCTTAACAACAAGGCTGCTGGTTCAACTCCTGCATGGGATGGTGGCTACGCCCACCGGCAACTAAGATTGAACATAGCACTTTGAGCTTAGAGGCCACGAGCTACCAACAGGCAGCCAGATGGCGACTGGCACCCTCCACAACTAAGATTGAAGAACAACAACTTGGCTGGTCCCCTTCCCCAATTCCCCAATAAAATCTTTAAAAAAAAAATGGCCCAGGAAGCCTTGTATAAACGACACTCTAAGAAGCCATGAGCAACCTATAGGAGCTGCCACTTACATGAGGCCTGTTTGCGACCCTTTTTCAAGCATCAGCTTGGTGCTTGGTGCTTCCAGCCCTCAAGTAGTAAATGCTGCTTCCTCCACTAACCAGCAGATTCACATTTCCACGTGATAAAACCAGTGCCTCCCACCGGCTCCAACACCAGCTGAACCAGGCAGTGCAAAATGAAAGTCTCCCTAATTCACCTTCATCTCACCAACTAAGCAATGCCTGATATAGCTTCTGGGCGTGTCAACATACATTCCTCCCCGGCTCCTGTCAGAGGCTGATTATACAAGAACAACATTTAAGAACTTTCGGAGACTGTGGCATTAAGAAAGGAGAAAGTCACATCACCTCGCCCCTCCTGAGAAAAAAAGCCTTTCATAAGAATGTTTCTTCATTGTTAATCACCTGAGGGGGGGGAAAAAAGTAACAAGCTTCATGTGTTTAGAAAGAGTCACTAGGCTGGTAGATGAAAGAAAACAGAAGTATCTTATCTGGTGATTAGAGGATATCAGTCCATTCACACATTAGGTAAGAGACAGCTTTCTTCCCAGCACCTACAGAGATAGCATCACTGGGGTAATGAATGGGTTCGGGCTTGCAGGAGGGGGCAGAGGAGCCCAGAAGCTCTGGGGATGAAGTCACACCTGGCTGAGGGATCACCTGAGGGGCAGTGGGGAAGCAGAGGGCATGTGGAGGAGGGGCACAAAAAAGGAAGGTGACAACAGCCAGCTTTGCCTATTTCAAAATTAAGCCCAAGCCTCCAAATTCTAAGAAAGAGGAAGGAAATGTGCCCTCCCTTCTCTCCTCTGTGCCCTCTCCCTCCCTGGACCCCTAAAATCAAGCCACTGTTATTGGTACTAGTTTTCCAATGTTGGTCCACCGGGGTAGAAAGAAGGCCATTACATCTTCTCCATGAAGATGCCATTCAAGTTGCAAACTACTCCTTAGAAACGGTGAAGCACAGTCCCTCAGGACTCAGGGGCCACCTGGAGTTTTTAAAAGGCCCTTGAGCAGATTCTCTGTACCTTTTTGAAATTTTATTTATTGGCATCTTTCTGTGACTAATTAAATATTTGGGGTTAAGCAAATTAAGATATGTGGTGGGTATCTGTTAGGTCTCTAAGGTCAACTTTTAAAAAAAATTAAGAATTGGGACTTGAGAGCAATATTTCATATGGTGGTTGGAAATGGAAAAAACCAGCAGTCTCACATACAAATGTTCCAAAAGATGAAACTAACAACATTGCATCCACCCCTACTTTGCACAAGACCCAGGGGCCACATGTGGTTATACGGTGCAATCACATCCTAATATAATCTCCTGCAGGAGTGAATTAGCTAGGACAGGACACTGTGCATGTCACCGTGCATTCACCTAATACAGTCAAGACACACGTGGACAGGCTTCCCTTAGAAGGGATGTTTTAGCCAAGTGTGTGAAGAAATTTTGTTTACTGAGCACAATGTCCTCATTTCCCATAAGCAGTGGAAACAGGGGGACCCTCAGGCTTTTCTCTCTTAAGCCGCATGCTGGCTAACTTCAGTGACCATTGGCACTGGAATCCTTACACAGTGGGGCTCCAATATGTTACTATTTATCAACATGACAGAATGCTGCTATTCTCTGCTGATTACAAGTAATAATACTAAGGGTCTCTCGGTCCTCTTTCCTTCACTCTTCCAAATCAGTCTAAATGTGGCAGAAAAGGGAAATCTCAAACGAAGTTTGACAGCTTGCCTTCGACACCTGAGCCCGAGGCTGGCCTACGAAGTAAAACGCCAGCGGGAACCCCTGGCCTTGCTCCGCGCCTCTGCGGCAGGATGCAAAAGAAATGCCACCTTCCTGCCTGCAGAGGCAGAACGGCCTGACGTGTCCCGTAAGAAACACAAACTGAAGGTCGTTCCCCTCCTCTGAGACGGCTCTCAGAAACAAAACAAACTGTACTTGCTGCCCAGCCTAAACGAGGGCCCCGCTGCTCTTCAGCCGTGGCTCCGCATCACAGCAGTTTCTACAAAACGTAATTACAGACTTGCTCGCGTTCAAGGTCCCTGTGGGCTCGGACCCGAAGTGGCGGTCTAGCCGTGCTCGGGCCGGGTCCACGCCTCACACAGCAGGTGAGCAAGCACACCCGCTCGGGGCTGAACCCTGAGATCGTCCAAGCGCTGTCCAGTGTATCTACCGGGTCGTTCTGAGTAGCCCAGCCTGACTCCCGCCCAGCTCGCGCAAAAGTTTTGATGCAGCGCCTGAAACCAGGCAATTTGCAATCAAACGCTAAGTGCCCCCCCGGAAGGCTGCTGCATTTTTTTTTTAAAGCCTTAAACAGCTGAAAAGGAGGATCGTGCTTTAGCGGTAGCACGCCAACCTAACGATCAGTTTTTTGGGGTGTGCGGAAACACCCAGTGAGGGAATGCAACACATGCAAACGAGCCATCAATCCTAGCCCGCACTGGAAAGCCAGCAAAGCAAGACGACCCTCAAGGCCAGTGACAACGAGCGCGAATTAGTCAACTTTGCAACCCCACTTCCCGGTCCGCCAGGCTGCCGCGCCTTTCTTACTTCCCCATGGGCAGGACCCGCCAAACCACCCAGTAATCTGTCAAAAAAAAAAAAAAGAGCTCAGAGCGGGCCTGGCGGGGCCGGTGCCGCAGGGCGGGGACAAAGGGGTCGGGGAGGGTCACCGATCCACAAATCCTCCCCAGCCGACTTCACTTTACACCGACGCAGCGCGTCCAAAATGGAGGGAAACGTCCTCAATTTAAAACCGGCAGCTCCATTTCCGCAGCTCGCCAGCCAGGCGCTGTTCGAGCCCCGCCAGCCGCGGCCCGGACGGACCCGGAGGACAGGAGGGCGAGGCCGCTGCGCCAGGCCCAGCGCCCAGGGACCCCGGCCCATCCGCGGCGCCCGCGCCGGGCGTCCTCCCCGGCCCGCCCGTCGGAGGCCCGGCCCCGGGGAGCGGGACGCGGGTGGGAGCACTCACCTGCTCCGGGCTCCGGCAGGGACACAAACGGCTCCGGGAGAGTTGCGGAGGAGCAACCCGGCGGCGGTTCCGCGCGCGCGACGCTGCCCCGCCGCGCCCTCGCGCCCCGCGATCCCGCGGGCCGGGCGCGCGCCTCCGGGCCCCGCCTTCCTCGCCCCGCCCACCCAGCGGGGCCTCCGGGGTTGCCATTGGCTCCTCGGCCTTTTGAATCGTCCCCGGCGCTGTCGATTGGCCGTGCGCCGTGGCGCGTCCGTCCCTCGCCGCCCCGCCCCGCCCCGCGGCGGGGCCGGAGAGCTGCGGGAGGCTGGCCCGGCGGGTGCGCCCCAGGTGCGCCCCGGAGGCATTTAGCTGCTGGTTCCTTATCGCCGCCGCCCAGGCGCCCTGGCAGCTCCGCGGACCCCGCGCGCTCCCCGCCCTTTCCCACCCGGCTCGCGCCACGGTCGCCCGGCGATGCGCAGCCGAGTTGGAGGTGCGTGGTGGTTTGGCGAAAGAAATCATAAAAAGCTGCCAATAAGAAGTCTCGTGTTAATCACTCGAGATCGGCTGTCCGAGAGCGAAGGAGCTTCTTGCTATCGTAAAAGACTTTAGAGCGCTCCTTTCCGTGTTAAAACCCTCCAGGCCTCTGGACCACAGCAGTGGCACCGAAAGCCATCTGGGGCTTTGTCTTGGCGTTGGCTGCGCCCGGGTAGAAACCAATCTGGACCACAGTGGGGCCATTGGGCGGAAGGGGACAGTGGTAAGGAATGTCCCAGGGTCCCCCACAATTCGCAGGGTTCCTACGACGACTGCAGTGAGGAAGGGATTAACAGTAAGGGGAGGTACTGCCGAGATATGGCAGAAAACTCAATAACGTTGCAGCATGGGATAGAAAATTCTGAGCCTTACTTAACCTGCATCCCACAGTCTGGTTTTAACATTGGCCTCCAAACTGCTGAATCATTACATGGTTAACTCCGAATCTGTTATGGATTGTAAACCTTTTTTTTTTTTTCTTTTCTACAAGTTATCATTATTGGTTAGTTGGTTTCCTTCCTTTGAGGTCGAGAGTTTAAAACACTCCATTGAAGTTCCCCATTCTGCAATGTGGTTTTAATCAAAGTATTTCTTAACCCAACTACTAGGTTAACCCAATTTATTAGGTATTAAACTTCAGTGAATTTCTATTTCGGAAACACTATCTGTTAAATGATAATCACAAATAGGCGTTTTCATGTGTCGTCCAGCTTCGGGTGCAAAACCTCTCGTTTTCACAGTTACAACTACAAAACACCCAGATTCATTCAAAAAAAAAAATCTAGTACATTGAGTTTTCTTGGTCATTTGGTCATTCACATCCACTGTGACTGAGTTCATCAGAGCCTCTCTGGGGAATAAGTTCTGACATCAAATTGTCATCGAATTCGTCCTGGATGGAAATCTGAGCTACAGAAATGCACACTGCACTTCAAAGTCAGAGAAACCTACCTGATTTTTGGCAAAGCCCTGCGCCAGAGTCACCTTAACCCTTAAGGTAAGATCATATTAGCCCTACTTCATTTTTTTATTTTTTTCCAGCAAATGACAGAGAAATGAAAACATTACACTGGGTCCATGGGGACCTAAGATAGTTACTATTCCTCATAGCCAAGCAGCAATACATTATTTCCTCTTATGCTCTACCCAGATTTCACTGCATTCCCCTTGAGGTACATATTTCCTAGATCGTTTTCATTTATGAAATAAGATTCATTTTTTTATAAAATAAATAAATGCATTTTAAAGGTCAGTTTATCATAACAAAATGAAGTTAAAAGATTGTGAATTACTAGAATCAGCTTAGTTCACATTCTGCCTTATAAATTATAAAGTTATTTTTGAAACACAACTGATTTCGACAGCGGAGAAACTAAGCAGTAATTATTGTTTGTTTCTGGACGGAAGCATTTTGCAAAAAATCAGTTGACTATCTAGGCTACTTTCTCACTAAAGGAACGGTTGGTATTTTCCTCTTTTTCTTTTTTAAGGACTACTAAAAAGTGCATAGATATTTGGGGGTGGAGAATTTCCAGGTTTAGTTCTCAATCCAAAATTGTAAGTTTGTGAGTTTTCAGAATATATACAGTAAAAGTCACTTAAAGAGCCATTTGTTGGCACTGCTGTTAATGTAGCCATAAGTGGCACAGTCCCCTGCCCCATTTATAAGAAAAATGAGAAGTAATGGAGAAGCAAACCCTATCAGCCCAGCCACTAAAAGCAGCCAAAAGACACACATGGGGCCAGGAAACCTGACGTATGAAACACAGGAACCACAGTGTAATGCATTCCATTGTGGCCATTATTTGGCTCTGCCTCCTAGAGGCTATCAGAATTGAAATGTCTCTTTCAGAAACAGGTCTAGGTAAGATTTCACGTGGCATGAAGAATTCCAGCTGGACTCATTTCGTACCGTTTTATAAGGAACAAACTTTTATATGCTGGGCACTGCAGAAAGCCTTCCTTTGTAAAATAGAAGTACCCCAAGAGCATTGAGACCAAAATACATTTCTAAGAATGCTGTTTGATCTGAATGGCTTTGATGCACACAGAAGTGGAGTTCACGATTAGCAGGATGGAATAATGTTAACACATTTTTTTTTCATTTAATTTGAAACACTTACACTTAGGCATATTTGCAGCACTTACTGACTCCATCTTTTTTCTTAATATGTAGTGATCAGAGGCCAGAAAGGGAAACTATTTGAATACATGCATCCAACCAAGTACCCTGCTTCAGTGGAAGAACGGAAAAGAGATGGGACACAGGTACCTTAATGCACTAGCGATAGAGAAAGAAAAGAGGCAGAATCTGATGTGATCATCATAAGAGCTAACCTTTACTTATTAAACTTTTACCTCTGCCAGCTGCTGCTGTAAGCATTACAAGTAGCCTGATTTATTTAACCCACACAATAGCTCTGGGCCAGGAACGCAGCGTCCTGGAGCAAGCCCATGCGAATTCCATTTCTAGCGCTCATTCTCAGCCCTTCTCCAGCAATTTCTCTGTCTTGATTTCGTCATCTATAAAATGGGGATAATAAGTGTACCTATTCTGCGAGGTAATTGGGAAGGTTAAATTCAGTTATACATGTTAGTATAACTTCATTTTTGTTCAAGTTCAAGTCACCGTTTTTAATCAGTTGTAAATAAATTAAAGGGTGTTTTCAATAGCAGATGCGTCAATGAGTTTTTAATGTATTTGCTCTTTTTTACCTAAATATATAAATCCTTTGAGTCCTCCTGTAGCACACGTGTACATAGAAGACTGTTATACCTTCAGTGTTTTCATCCATACTATTCTAAATGAAAAATCTAAACCTGCTCACTGGTGAATCTTAAAACCTTGTTCAGAGAGTAATTATTATTCAAATTTAGTTTGTTCTTAATGTTTGCTGGTTTGTGACTGTTTAAAAAAGTAGCTTTGAAAATTTGAAATTATGTAGGTGTGTTGGGAATCCTGAAATATTTATCCACAGGAAAAAGTGTAAACTCTGTGGCGTGTCATAAAGAAAGCCTTCCGAAACTCTTGCCCGATTGGATCTTTGTCAGGCTGAGCTCCCTCTGTGCCTTTTTATGTCTGTCTTTTCTTTCCCACCCACTTCACCCTCCATCTCTACAAAAGTCCCGATGAGTCCACAGACAAGCCTGTTTCTCTCACATTGCTTAGAATGCCTTTCCCCTTCTCCTGAGAGTGGCTTGTTCTAGCCCAGGTCCTCTGACTCTCTGCTGTCATGGCAACTTCCCACATACACCTGTCACTGCCTTACCTGTTGTGAGCATCCTTTCTCCCAGAAGGCAGGAAGCATATTTTATTTCTCTTTGTGTCTCTTCCCATTAAATAAATGAGTGATTAGTTCATTATAAAATTGTGTTATGTATGTTCCTCTAAAAGCCAGACTATAGTAAATTCTCTCACTCTTGGGCTAGTTACTGAGTTTCTAAGATGCTAGATAGAGGCAAGAAGCCACAGAGTTTTCGCTGGCACTTACTGTTCCCGCTAACTAGGGTGGACGAGGGCGCTTTCTACCTTGGGAGCACGGCGTGACTGTTGTTGCCTCCATGTGTCCCTCGCCTCCTGTCACTAGCCCTGCTTTCCTGTCATCACCATCCCCATCCGTTGTCCTGAACGGCCTTCTCTCTGCCTTGGTTTTGATCTTTGCACCCTCATCTCTCTCTTAATCCAGAATATGTAATTAAATGTTTCTTTTTAAAACCTACTGCATATTTCATGTGTGGTTTAGACACAGAACACAAGCGCATAGTTTGTGTTGGCACAGTTGCTAAACTGTGAGTCCCTGAGGACAGCCTTCCACCCGCCCTGCCCCTGGCCTCCCATCCAGAGCCTGCAAACTGGGGGTTCAAGTGTGGGATGGCGCTTACTCCTTTATGTAATATGCAATTACCACGTTGCTTCACTTCCGGCCAAAGCTAAGGCTTAGCTCACCAAGGCTGATGTTTAGCATTTACACTTCTCTTCAGCGATTGTTCCAACCCTGTCACTAAAACTGTGCCCTGCCCTTTGGGAAAAGTGGGGAGCACCCGGCCTTGGCATCAGGGTGGTGGAGACAGGGAAGCCATGGGGAGGGGACTACCACCTAGTGAGATCCTGCTATGTGGGAAGCATTTTCCTGTACCTTATTTAGGGCTCAAATCAACTCAGCGAAATATATATCATTATCCCTATTTTTTTTTAAGATTTTATCGGGGGATTGGGGAAGGGAACAGTGTTGGGGAATTGTTGGGGAATTGGAGAAGGGGGAACATTGTGTTTTCCCAGGATCCATCAGTTCCAAGTCAAGTTGTTGTCCTTCAGTCTTAGTGGTGGAGGGCGCAAGCTCAGCTCCAAGTCCAGTTGCTGCTTTCAATCTATTGGGTCGTCAGGAAAGTCATGACATATTTTTCTATGTTTTTCAATGCAAAAATGCGTCATGACTTTCTCGACGACCCAATAGTTGCTGGGGGGGAGGGGGCGCGCAACCCACCATCCCATGGGGAGTTGAACCAGCAACCTTGTTGTTAAGAGCATGCGCTCTAACCAACTGAGCCACCCAGCCGGCCCCATTATCCCCATTTTGGGGGGGGGGGCGGTTTC